TGCAGCGGTGGTTGCTGTGGGCGGTGGTGCCCGGAAACGGGACCGGTCACGAGGGGGGAGGGGGGGGGTATAGGGATTAAAGAAATGGACGCCGGGGCTGACCTGTGGAGCGATTCGTGTTTCTTCTCAGACGGCATTCTACCCACTAAGTTGTTTACTGATCAGCCATGCATTACCTCAGCCGCACTGCCATGGGTGATGGGATAATTATTTACGGGAATAGATCCCTCGGTTACGCGCTGACCATGCTTGATCAGAGATCACCTACATCATTAGCGTCGCCACGGGGGGGCAAGCGGGGCAGCTTGCCCCCCCAACCTCGGACCGGGCACCCCCTGAGATCGATACAGATCCGATGAGATTTTGGAGTCAGGGAAAAATGGGGGTACCTTTCTGAGAATGCCTGTGAGGTCAGACTCTGTTGGAGCGTGCAGTTCAAACCAAAGTCAGAGTCGCAGTCGCCAAAATCTTCAAGACTCCGACTCCAGACTCGGAAATGTCAATGCCATGATTCATGCCATGTTCCTAGTTGGTTCTTTATTACATTTTGTAGCTGATTTTCATAAATTTTGGAGTGCTGACACGTGACACATAATTTTCGTTCAAAGCGTGACACGAAATCTTCGGGGCCTCAACTCTCGTCAAATGTCTGCGACAGGCCCAAGTACCGTTCAAGTGCCGCAGGGCTCATGAGCCTGCTTTTCACACAGGCTCCTAAGGAGCTCCACTGAGCTCTAAGAAGCTTTCGGAGGGCCCAAACCGGCCTCTGAGAGTCCCACTGGTGTCCATGTTCTCTAGAGGGCCCACACAGGGATCTTTGAGGACATTATACATACGTAAACCTCTGAAGGGCCACACGAATCTTTGAGGATGCCTTCGAAAATTTCTGAAAACCTCAACTGGCCTATGATAGTTCAGCCGAACCTTTGAGGCGACAGACTTTACTAACCCCAACCCGGCATCTGAGGGGTCACAACTCACGTGTCCCTCTGAGGGCCGCAGCACATGTTTCTTATGTCCCTACCAACGTAGGGTCCTTAAGGATTCGACACAGACCCCGACGGTTCACACTGTTATTCGAGGGATCCAGGCTCACCCTGGGCCTAGTCTCTTAGCGCCGCCGCCCACACTGGCTTCTAAAAGCTCGTGTGCCCTAAAGGGCTTTCCGGGCCCACCTTAGGCTCGGGAAGCCCTAAAGCACCACATACACGTAAATATTTGGGGTGACCCACGCCGATCTCCGGGATCCTAAGCAGGCTTCTGAGAGTCCACACTGACCCTGAGTGGCCTGAAATGGCCTGGAAGCCGCAATCCTATCTCTAAGGGATCCCTTGCCGCTATGCCGTGCGTAACTTTTGGTTCCGTTAAATATTTTTGGCCGCGTTTGCAGCGCTATCCTTCACTCGAAAAACCAGAAACTTTTTGTTCACACTCGAGTGAACAAAACACTTCTTCTCACTGCAGCAAGGATGAATGATGTACTTCCGATTCACACTTCCGACATTCTCTCTCAGACTCTCAGTCTCCGCCGAATGCCCAATTCTTAGCTACAATCGGCGGCTGGGATAAGCCCTATGCATTTCACGTAAAACCTCGGCATGCATGCGTGAATGGAGGTTTTAGCGAGATGATCCGATTCAAATGGAGCGTTTTTCACCTTCTTCTGGGTAATGATCATGAGCGACGGGAGTCTGCACAGGGGCCCTCTGCAGTGCGTCGGCAATCGCAGCCACTGTGATTCTAACGGTCGTTTTTGTCCAGAAATTTCAAAATTTTGATTTTTTTTTGTAAAAAAATACATGCTATAGCTAGAAGGAAAACTTTGTCACCATCGGATTCCTCGCACCATTGCGCGTCGAATGATATGTAAAACGAGTGAGTAACGGCTGGGGAAAGGCAAGATTTAACACAAAACTTGATTTTGCCCCCCAACCGAAAATGTCTGGCGACGCCTATGACCTACATTAACAATAAATTAAACACGTAGAGTAGAGTAATATCTTTTATACTTGCTTCTTAACTGTTGAATGTTGAGCCAATAGGACTCAATTATATCCTTTGCTATGTCGTTACCATAAACCAAGGGTTTTCCATTGCACACCTACTCAGATATGAATTTTGACAGGCGTATCATATGCCATGCTATACGAGGAATGCGTTGTAACATCGAATAAAAGGCATGTTATCGAAAATCCTCGATAGGGCGAGCATCATCGATACACTTAATTAGGTTTACAAAGGGGCAATGATCATTTATAGACCAATAATGTTATGAAGCTCTAAACTCGTTTGTTTCTATATACCGTATCGGTGTTTGCAACTGACCGGTTAAAGGTAGTGTGCCAGCTTTCTTGGTCCGTATGGAGTTAATGGCCCAGATAAGGAGAACCGGATTTTTAGAACTTATCCATTCCTTCAAAACTCATGGAAAAGTCTTAAATTCTTCACATTTTGAGTACCCCAGTGCGAAATTCGCCCCGACGGGTTGTCGGTCGTACCCCAACCACATTTCACACCACTATGAACAATAAATGCACACACTGAAATCGCTATTACCGATATGCTCATCCAATCAAGTTTCGATAAACCCGTTCATCATCATCTCCTGCGGTTTCGAACACGCCTGTTAGGTGGCTTCTGATGCTCGTCGAGGTCGGAATTTCCAAATACGCGTGGTGCGTCGGGCCGCGCGCTCTGACTTCGGCCAAGAAAAATGCGTCAGCTGATCATTGTCATTTCTGCCACTTGCGTGTGGTGAAATGGGGTCATAACTTATAAGACGGCTTTTTCATATCAATTATTTTACATAAAATCATATTTCAAACCATAAATAATGTTCGACAGCCAAATAAAAGAAACAATACCAATACGGGCTTACAGTTTAAGGCTCGACATTGTGTTGTCTACGAGTAGACAGCTGATAACTCATTCCCGTACGTCGTATGGTCGTAACACTATAATGACCTTTGCTTATTGTCACAAGTGCGCCGCATTCGCGATTGTTGCCCGACGCCTGTTTGCAGGTGAGCCCACTACAGTTGTTATACATACCTATCTAAAAACCGAAAAACTTTTAGGCGAAAAAGGCACTATTCCAGGCCCATTTTTGATTTTTTTTGCGATATTAGGTAAAAACAGAAGCTTCTTATCCTAGGAAAAATAAAATGGGAAATCTTTCAAAGGTGGCACACTACCTTTAAGCCTTTACAAAAGTGCTTATGCTAATTGTGTTTTGTAAAGCTTGCTTTGTTCAAGCACCACTGTGAGCTCAATTCTCGTCAGAATTCGTTTTAATTTCGGATGACTCTATACCTATAATATATCAGGGTTTGGTGTTTGTTTAATTTTTCAAATAAGCAAACATAAACAAACTGTTCACGAACAAATGTGTTCGCGAACAAGTGACGTCATCGGTCAAATTTTGGTAAACAAACAACGAACAGTTCGCGAACGTTCATGAACTGTTCGCGAACACGGTAAAGAGGGGGTAGATAAATAAGACCCCCTCCTTAGCCATTTCGCTCCTAATTATAGATAGAACCTTGCGGAAAAAGCCAGCGTGTGCGTCTTTGCGAAACACAGCGATTGGTATCCGTTTTCAAGGTCTTACACCAACCGGTGACCCCTGAGGTCAGGTCAAGTGTCTTAAAGTATGGGTTTGGTTTTTGGTGAATAACTTCGCCACAAATGGTGGCAGAGCCGCGATTGTCGCACCATCGTGCTCGTCGTGGCCAGACGCGTCGAATGATACACTTTCTGTTTTGGTTAGGTCTTTTTAGGATGTTGACCTCAGGTCACGGTCAGGTCAAAGCCACTCGGGTCACAAAGCTGCATGGAGGATGTCATGTTGCATATCATTCGATGTGGCAGTTCTTTTTGAGTCAAGTGATGGCTCAACCGACTCGCTAGCTCAATTTGATCGGAAGTTATTAGCGAAAAACTCCTACTGCACCAAACAACCTTAGTGGCGTCTTATATGACGTCATGCAAGGTCTTCGATGCACAATCTAAGCCTCAGCGTTACAAGAATAATTATGAATCACGATTCCATGTGCTTGAGATATGACTGGTGCATTTTTTCTCATGTAAAATATGCCTGCAGTCATGTCAGCACCGTATGATAACAATTGCTCGAGAGATATAAGAAATGATGACTTGTTCATGAACGTTCATGAACGTTCACGAACTGTTCGTGAACAGAGAATCGTTGATGAACATGTGACCTTGAATGCCAAAATTCGTAAACCATCACATAAACAAACAAACAAACATTGTTCACGAACTGTTGATGAACAAATATACAAACACCAAACCCTGCTATATATGAGCCCTGAATTATGTTCAGGCCACCTTGCCGTTTCTCGACAATCTCTGAGGGATATGCTTGTGGGTTGTATTGGAGCTCGTCGTCGCAATGGAGTTGTCTGGTTAGGATGACTATCAGCCCAGGACGAGGGAGATGAGATCAATGATGAAGGTTGTCAGTTCAAGTTCTGACTAAAGAATACAGACGCCTCCATCCTTCATTCATGTTCTACTTGCATAGAACCTAAAACGCAGTGAATCTTCTTATACCCCGCTTTCAAAGACCAGCCTCCCAGCGTTAGTGGCGCATTGGATCCCCCCCCCCCATGACACCGCCAGTGGCGCTCCTGATCTTTGCCCCTGCGTATAAGTGGCGCTAGTGGCGATACCCCCTTCCTTCAGTGGCGGAAAGGGGTTCGCTGTGTCCCCCGCTGGGCGCCGTACTCCACCAATGCCCCTCCTTCGGTGGCGCCTTCCTGGCCTACCATACCCTTCCTTCAGTGGTGCCCTCCCGGCCCATCATACCCTCTCCTTCAGTGGCGCCCTCCCTGCTTACCATACCCCTCCGCCGGTGGCGCCCCCTGTCCCCCGCGGAGGTCGGCCCGGGCTCCGCTCCTCCGATATCCTCCGCCAGTGGCGCCCCCTGTCCCCCGCGGAGGTCGGACCGGACTGCGCTCGCCTCGTCTGCTCAGTCGGCGAGATGGGGCGCCCGTGGTGTCGTGAGTGGCGGACCGGCCGACGCCGACCGCCGCCGCTGCCGCTGCCGCTGACCTCCCCGAGTCTGCTCGTATGCTGCGGCATCCTCATCATCGCAGCCACAGGTGAGCCGAAGGACCGACAGTTAAAAACACACCTGACTTTACAATGTGTCTTCCTTTTCTTACGGAGGAGAGATAGGGGAGAATGGGGCAAGATTCCCCCTCGGATAAGACGCCCAATACCCTCTAGCGTTAAAAGTAGCAACGTTGAGGTGTTATCATGGTCCCTGAAGTAGAAGTAAAGATTAGTTACTTATAGAAAAAAATGGTGCATCTCCACTCTCCAGTGAGAATTGCCACGCGGATGGGCAAAAACGTATTTTTGCTAGTTTTGTACTTTTGTTTGATCTCATTAAATGCAACAGTTATTCGTACAGTCAATTGAGTATCCTATTTCTTTACTTTTGTATGTGCATCTGCAACATTTCTCTCTTAGCTGACGCCACAATGACCTGCATTTCAACTGCAGTTATTTTTTCGGCATGCCTATCCAGTGGCGGCGGAAGCGGGGGGGCAGCGGGGGCACGGCGCCCCCCCATCTTCCAGGGTGGGGGTGCAAACATATCTTTTTGCCCCCCCAAATTGTTATCGACGAAGTACCACAATACTTCCATACTACGTCATGAACATATGCCAGTTTGGCTGAGTACCTTTTTAAGTTAATAGAGCGAGTAATTTGGAATGGATTGATATTGTTGTCAATGTCGTCGTACATATTTTGATCACATTGGCTAGCATTTTGCAGTGCGAGTGTTACCAACCAAAAAGGTTTGCAATAGCCAATAATTGGCTAACTTTAATGACGTCATTGGTTTAAAGGAAGCAAGTTGTTCAACGTGAACAACAGTCACGGTGACAGCCACAGCGTGCTACACGTATTTGAACTGGACTTGCCGCAGTGGCGCGGGAACCAGAGGGGCGGTTCCCGGGAACCGGCTGGAGGGGCTAGCGGGGGCTGAGCCCCTCCAACTTTTCGGCGGGGGGAGGGCTCGTAATGTAGGTATTTGAGACCCTCCAACCGGAGGAATCGAAATCGGAAATCTACCAACATAAATTCATAGATTTATTACCTTTTCGAAATGTTAACCAGAAACAACCTTCATTATGGAGCGTTCTAACGCAGAAGACTGTGACAACATGTAAGCACATATTCATTCTCTAAATATCATACATTTCCACCAAACGCCCTCCACACATAATGCTCAGAAATCAAGCAGCTATCTACGAGCTACCGGTAACCGGAAGAGTAGGACGGAACGCGAGTGGCCCGGCATGCGGACGTCACAGAAGCGCGTCTGAGCGTGCCACAGGCCTTTCCCCGCGACTCTGCCAGACGCCAGCCGGCATAGACTCGTGAGCCGGGGGGCAGCATGGGGGTAGCCTGCCCCCACAACTCTGGGGCCGTGGGGGGCGCAGGCGCTGCCCCCACAAAGTTTCATAGGGCCAGGAACCGTCGGGGCAGCTTGTCCTCCCTATATTAGCGGCCGTGGGCCTCAAAGAAAAGCTGAATGGAAGACAATACCTATTTAAGTAAAAAATCCCCCTCTATACCTGATTTGACAGCTCATGTGTGAAAGCTTTAAACGTTTATTCCAAGTTACCAAAAAGGTAGTTCCTTGACTCAGATGAGACGGGATATCTCACTTTTTGCAAATGTTTTCGTTTCGATTTTTCGTTGTAAAGGCCAAGGGGTGAAAAATAAGTGGCCTAAAACCGGTGAGAAAACTAGATTTGGGGGTACCCTAGGTTCCGGGAAGGATCAGGTGTGCCCCCCCATCCCAAAATACCTTCCGCCGCCTCTGTGCCTATCATTTATGTTAGTGCGTGTAAGACGCCCAGGTGGTTGCGGGGAAAGTCAAGTCATAAGGTCGCAACTCGCAGTGATTAACTGTTCATTTGGAAAAATCTGAGATATAGGTAGGTACCTGCAAGTTGTGGAGACTTGGAAGTTTGCTATATCCTCTAGTCTAAGTTTCATCACTCTGCGAAAGATTCCTACGCGCGGAGAGCGTTTCGAGTTTCGACATTGTTGAACCAAGCAGAGGCTCGCTTGCAGAGTGATCGTCATAAGGAAGGATCACAAATCAGTAACATGAACCGACCTGAAAAGACTTTGGTGTCAACAGATTCTCATTGAATCAAAGGTCAGTTATGCCATCTCTCTATCCCTAATTTATTCCAAGCAATCATGAGCGGTTGAAGTTTTGTGCATCTTTTTCCACAGGGTGGGCTTCTTACCCACCCACGGGGTAAGATGCCCGAAATGACCTGCTCGAGGAAATGGCGTATTTTTAATCCTAACAACCGTATTCTGTGGCGATTATGTGTAACTTAACAGTGGCAAAATGATTACACTTAAATGAAATCGCGTTTTTAGCGACAAAACTTCCTCAAGTTTGCCAGCTAGAGCATTTTTAGCTCAACGGGGGGGGGGGCGACTTGCCCCACTCGCTCCTACCTACATGATTTTACTATTAGTGATGCCTCAATGCATTGTTATTAGAGCATTCCTGATAGCTTGTTCGCATCCTTTTTGGCTCAATAAGCATCTGCAGTCCGCTTAGCGCCCAGTACCTCCAAATCTAAACGGCAAGACCCTGGGTAATCTGATGTTATAGCGTCCGTGAATTTTATTTACAATGAAATTACAAAGGTATAATAATATTCATAAGTAAATAGATATTCGTCTGACTAACCATATCGTAGATGAAGCAGAGATCTTTCAGGCATCGCTAAGTGTCCACGATTTTTAACGATGCTGTTAATTGCTACTAAAAACGATAGGCATTTAGATACCATCTAACTTCTGGTCATTTAAGAGTAGGCTTGTAATCCGTTTATTCGTGTCACGATGTCAATAAAATGTAATATTTTGTATTTAACATCATTTATCTACCTAAAGATGGCGTCATGATGCGCCCCTGGCTGCATCTGAAATGAAATGGTTTGTCATTATATACTGACAATAAAAAAGCCAAATATACAAAGACAGAAAGCTGTAAAAACTATAAAAATGTAATAAAAAGAACTGGGAAGAGAGGGAGATGAAGGAAAATTCGAGGGAGGTTTTGCAATTTGGAGACACATTTGTGGAGTAAGCATGACTCCACTGCAGCATCCAGGACCAATTTGTTGCATCAGTCAATGCAAAGGCAATGGGCCTTTCTTGTATGTATCTATGCGACATGGTTGAAAATACGTGAAATGTTCACGCTGTCGTTATGTTGAAACATTTCTTGATCCTGTACCCGGGCTGTACGCCACAGTGGAAAATTTATATACTGCGCGCTTTGCTTGGACAATGGCATGATTCGATTCCTTGCGCGTCACAATTGGACATGGTTCAATTCGGCTCGAATTAGTCTCACTTTCGGGCACTTTTGGACACTGCGACAAGGACATATGTCTCGATTCTATGCGCTACAGTAAGACACACCTGTCGTCTATTCTGTGCGCCACGGATGACATGTCTCTATTCTTTGCGTCACGGTTGGACAATGGACATGTCTCAATTATGTGCGCTACGAGTGGGCAATGGGCATGTCTCTCTTCCGTTCGCCACGGTGAGATACGTCTCAATTCTCTCCACTACGATGGGACGGACGGTGTTTACGTTCTCCCACCCAGAGACCGTAGGTCGGCTCTAGTTACGTCTGCTACACGCCTCTGGGTTGTCAGCAGGCGGCTGTGATCTAATGCTGTTGTGCAGACGCGACGGTGTGTGGGCGATCCAGCTGCGACAAATCGAATGTGATCAACTGAGACCTGGGAGCTTGAGCGCATGGTTGTTTTGCTCATCAGGGTACCGCGTATAGGTACCCTATGTTAAGAGCATATTTGTTCCTCAAGAACTTCATGGGAAGCTGTCTGATGATATTTACATTTTACAAGCATATCTACCATATTTATGTAAAAAAAGATATTCAATCTAACTAAAGGCAGCAATGTGAAACGAAGGCTTAGCTCATATTAATAAAATCATCTTAGGTGCCTGATCTAATTCAGCATTTTATGTTGATAATTTTTTTTTGAAATATTCTGAAGGTGCATTTGTAATAAAAAGGTGATACAAAACATTTCTGGTACATATCCACACACACGCACACACAAACCCATACACACATGCCCGCTCGGACACGGTCAGGAGGCGTTCAAGCGCCAATCCTCCGTGCGGCGGCAGTTACAGTCCCCCACCCTCCATCCTGACTATCTGGCTGCAGAGCTCCTTGTGGAGGTAAAAGAAGGTATAACCGTCCCGTTGGTGACCTTCATTCAGGACGTACGCCTCGTCCACGCAGCTGACTCCATACAGCCCATTTACAAGTCAGTCGGTGCTCTCACCGACCCATCTAGTTTTCGCCCTATTTCACTTGTGCCCTGTCTCTCAAAGATCATAGAACGGCTAGTTCACGAACAGTTGTACTCTTTCTTCGTCAACAACTGCCTTCTTGCTTCCGCCCAACATGGCTTTCGCCGAAACTATTCTACCGAAACGGCACTTATTCAAATTACCGATCGCATCCATCGGGCCATGGATCAGGGTCATATCTGTCTTCTTGTCTTGTTAGACCTGAGTAAATGTTTTGATGTTGTGAATCACGCCAAATTGCTTCAAAAACTTGAACTTTATGGAGTGAACACTGAGTGGTTCCAAAGTTATCTTTCGGATCATTTTCAATACGTTCGAATGAGCTCGCCACAGAACGAACAGGTGACCTCCAAACCGATGAGAAACCCGATTGGAGTGTACCAAGGTACCTCGCTCGGACCTTTGTTGTACACCGTGTACTCGAACGACATCAGTTTGTACGTAGAGAGCGAGGTGACCATCGTTCAATACGCTGATGATACTCAGCTCCTCGTTACGGGCAGAAAAAGTGACATCGCATCACTGGTTCATCGCATGGAGTGTGCACTAAACACCCTGCATCGCTGGTTTATGCAAAATTCCTTGAAACTGAACTCCAGCAAGACGCAGCTTATAGTTTTGGGTACGCGCCAAATGTTACGAGGTGTTCCGCCTGTTACCCTTACCGTGAGCGGCAGTACCATCCACGAGAGTG